TTCTTCTTTCTAAACCCTGGGATACTTTATTTCTAAACCTTGCTTGGTACAGTCCCAGGACTGAGGAAAAGAGCATTTAACACTTGATTCTTTGCATCTCATTGAGGGGATAATAAGATGCAAATAGAAGCATTTGTAGAGTGCAGGGTTAGAGAGGAAGGATTTGCTGTTCCCACAGAAAGGCTATTCCTAGAATTGTCTGGCAGTAAATCAGACCTTCTGCTGGTGGCAAGTTCAGGGAAGCGAAAATGCAACAGAAACTGTTTTTCACCAAGAGACTCAGCAGCAACACTAAACTTGAGGTGGAACAAAGAGTTGCCACAATTTGCCTTGAAACTTTGCAGGATGACCCTTCCTGGGAAGGTCCCTGAATACATTCAAAGGATCATAAAACTTTTAATGAGTCATTCTGACTTATACTAAAAAAACACATCATTATTCTGCTTTTAACAACTAAACAGAGTGACTTTACAACTTCTCATTACCCTTACAAGTTACAGAGCAACAACTGTTTATTGCTCATCTGCCTCCTGACGTGACTGGCTGCTTGTCGGCTCTGTACCTATGCTAGGCTTCCTGGCCTCAAAAAACCATGAGGCAAGCAAAGAAACATGCAAGAAGTCTTCCCACTTTTGAAAGGGGGGCTGTGTGAAACTACTGCAATGTTATCTCTACAGCAAGTCCCTGTTTAGGTTGTGACATGGGACTCTCGGGTGTGGATTCTTGCAAATGTGACTCTTGCCTACATTTCCTGTGTTAGGAGCCCATTAACCCATTACGGGCAGAGAGGTGGTCAGACTCAATAGCTAGCTCGTAGGGCTGTCCAACCACGGAAAAAATTGTTTCTAAACTCAATTCGTTTTTAGGGGGGTTTTGCGTTTCGTTATTTAAAAGAATTCCGAAATTTTTCTTTTAAAAAGTTCAATATTTACGAATTTCAGAAATTACGAAACAATAACGAATCGATTCGTTAATGGCGGACGCGATTGCGCAATACGCTAAAAAACCCTCCAAATGGGACAGGGGGAACTTCTGAAGCTTCCCTCTCCCTCTGTTGTTGACTGTTGGTGTGATATTTTTTTTATCACTGATAAAACAAACAACGACTATAAAACTTGCACCAGACATACGGAAATAATAACGAAATAATAACGAAACAATTTCGAAACAATTACGAAACGAATTGGAAAAATTCGTTTCGTTTTTTAGTTGCTCCTGAATGGTTCAATATCGCTTCGTTATCAAAAAAAAATAACAAATTAATAACGAATTACGAAATTAACGAACGAAACCGCCCAGCCCTACTAGCTAGTGACCAGAGCAGTTGGGAATTTTTAATTTCAAGAGGTCTCTGCTTTGCTCTGCTCTGCATCTTGAAGCCAGGCAAAGACCGTAATGATCCAAAAAGTTATAGACCAATCTCCCTGTTGTGCCACCTCTACAAAGTTCTGGAGAGACTTATTTTGCATAGAATTATGGAAAAAATAGACCCCTGTCTGATTCCACAGCAAGTTGGCTTCAGGAAAGGCAAAAGCTGCACATCGCAAGTGCTGAACCTGACTCAGCACATAGAAGATGGCTTTGAAAGGCAGCAGATCACAGGAGCTGCCTTCATAGACCTGTCAGCGGCTTATGATACTGTGAACCACCGCCTCCTCCTGAGAAAAATGTATAATATCACAAAGGACTACCACCTCATCCGCCTCATAGGAAACCTGCTACAAAACAGGAGCTTTTTTGTTGAGTTCCAGGGCCAGAGAAGCAGATGGCGGAAACAGGAGAACGGCCTGCCTCAGGGGAGCGTGCTTGCTCCATCCATGTTCAACATCTACACAAATGACCAGCCACTGCCAGAAGGGACAGAGAGTTTCATCTATGCTGATGATCGATTCATTACAACTCAAGCAGGGAACTTTGAGATGGTAGAACAAAAGCTCTCCAAAGCTCTAGGTGCTCTTACTGCCTACTACATGGAAAACCAGCTGATCCCTAATCCATCTAAAACACAGGCATGTGCCTTTCACCTTAAGAACAGACAAGCATCCCAAGCTCTGAGGATTACCTGGGAGGGAATCACACTGGAACATTACAGCACACCCAAATCCCTGGGAGTCACTCTGGACCGTGCTCTGACCTACAGGAAGCACTGCCTGAACATCAAGCAAAACGTGGGTGCTAGAAACAATATCATACGAAAGCTGACTGGCACAACCTGGGGATCACAACCAGACACAGTGAAGACATCTGCCCTTGCCTGAACATCTGCCACTGCCTGAACATCAAGCAAAAAGTGGGTGCTGCTTCCCTGGAGACTAGGACGCGGAACAATGGCTTCAACCTACAAGAGAGGAGATTCCATCTGAACATGAGGAAGAACTTCCTGACTGTGAGAGCCGTTCAGCAGTGGAACTCTCTGCCCCGGAGTGTGGTGGAGGCTCCTTCTTTGGAAGCTTTTAAACAGAGGCTGGATGGCCATCTGTCAGGGTGCTTTGAATGCAATATTCCTGCTTCTTGGCAGGGGGTTGGACTGGATGGCCCATGAGGTCTCTTCCACTCTTTGATTCTATGATTATGAGACATGCCGCATTAATGAGACATGCCGCATTATCACGGGGTGTCTGCGCCCTACACCACTGGAGAAATTACACTGCTTAGCCGGTATTGCACCACCTGACATCTGCCGGGAAGTAGCAGCCAATAGTGAAAGGACCAAGGCAGTGACATCTCCAGCTCATCCCTTGTTTGGGTATCAGCCAGCACGTCAATGACTTAAATCAAGAAATAGTGTTCTAAGATCTACAGAGACACTCGCTGGAACACCTCAGCAAGTGAGAGTCCAAAAGTGGCAGAACCTGAAACCCAGAACCTCAACCAATGGCTGATACCAAATGAGAGACTCCCCCCGGCACACAGAAGACTTGGAAGGCGCTGAACAGACTGCGCTCTGGCACCACGAGATGCAGAGCCAATCTTAAGAAATGGGGCTACAAAGTGGAATCCACGACATGCGAGTGTGGAGAAGAACAAACCACTGACCACCTGCTGCAATGCAACCTGAGCCCTGCCACATGCACAATGGAGGACCTTCTTGCAGCAACACCAGAGGCACTCCAAGTGGCCAGATACTGGTCAAAGGACATTTAATCAACTACCAAGGTTGCAAACTTTGTGTTTTGTCTGTCTGTCTGTTTGTTTGTTTGTTTGTTTTGTTCTGTTAGAAATGTTATACAATTGTCTGGTTGCCCCTGACGCGATAAATAAATATGCTCAAAGATCACAGCATGACCCAAGCCCCAGGATATGAGCCTGTGTCAGTGCATGGAGCCATACAGTGCAGTTCAAACTGCACTCTGTAATACAGCAGATCCAGCCTTAAAAGCCAGGGTGCAAAGAAACTTCAAAATAAGTGGAGATCCGCACAGCAGCAGTGGCTTGGACAGTAAGCAATCATAGAATCATAGAATCATAGAATCAAAGAGTTGGAAGAGACCTCATGGGCCATCGAGTCCAACCCCCTGCCAAGAAGCAGGAACATTGCACTCAAATCACCCCTTTTTTTTGTCGTGTCAGGAGCAGTCGCTTCTGGTGTGAGAGAATTGGCTGTCTGCAAGGACGTTGCCCTGAGGACGCCTGGATGATTTTTGATGTTTTTATCATCCTTGTGGGAGGCTTCTCTCATGTCCCCGCATGAGGAGCTGGAGCTGATAGAGGGAGCTCATCCGCCTCTCCCCGGATTTGAACCTGCGACCTGTCGGTCTTCAGTCCTGCCGGCACAGGGGTTTAACCCACTGCGCCACCGGGATCCAAATCACCCCTGACAGATGGCCATCCAGCCTCTGTTTAAAAGCTTCCAAAGAAGGAGCCTCCACCACACTCTGGGGCAGAGAGTTCCACTGCTGAACGGCTCTCACAGTCAGGAAGTTCTTCCTCATGTTCAGATGGAATCTCCTCTCTTGTAGTTTGAAGCCATTGTTCCGCGTCCTAGTCTCCAGGGAAGCAGAAAACAAGCTTGCTCCCTCCTCCCTGTGGCTTCCTCTCACATATTTATACATGGCTATCATATCCCCTCTCAGCCTTCTCTTCTTCCGGCTAAACATGCCCAGCTCCTTAAGTTGCTCCTCATAGGGCTTGTTCTCCAGACCGTTGATCATTTTAGTCGCTCTCCTCTGGACACATTCCAGCTTGTCAATATCTCTCTTGAATTGTGCTGCCCAAAATTCTCAACAAATTCATGGGTTGGGATGCTAGGAAAGAAGGAAAAGTCCCCAACTTTACGACTCTAGCGTACTTTCCCCCACTTGGGACTCCTTTCCACCCAAGACATGATCCCAGATGTAGAGGGATACAAATCAAACATTTTCTGGCCACAAATCGGCATGTGCGAGGCTTGCGAAAAACCATAGAATCATAGAGTTGGAAGAGACCTCATGGGCCATCCAGTCCAACCCCCTGCCAAGAAGCAGGAACATTGAACTCAAATCACCCCTGACAGATGGCCATCCAGCCCCTGTTTAGAAGCTTCCAAAGAAGGCGCCTCCACCACACTCTGGGGCAGTGAGTTCCACTGCTGAACGGCTTTCACAGTCAGGAAGTTCTTTCCCCCCGTGGGACTCCTTTCCACCCAAGACATTTTTTCATGATCCAGATGTGGAGGGATACAAATCAAACATTTCATAGCCACAAATCGGCATGTGCGAGGCTTGCGAAAAACCATTGCGGCCCAATATCTGGTGACTCCCAACCCTGAACAGGAGGGGGCACCCCATGTGGGGTCGGGAACCTACAGCTGTTGTGTCCTAGAGAAGACCCCAAGGCCAAGACGAGGCATGTTTCTGTTGCCTAGGGTCCCCAAGCTGGACTCATAAGACGTCTAAGGCACAACAAAGAAACTTGGGCGGGGGATCTCTCCAACCTCGAAAGTGAGACTCCATGTCCGCGTCTCTGGCGGCGGTTTGCAACTCCCCACCGACCCACTTCTTCCTTCATCTTCTCCCCATTACCTGCACTTCCACTTCCTCTTCTTTCTCCTCTTCTTTCCTCCTCCTCCTCCTCCTTTGGTCTGCGCGCAAGGAAGCCGCTCCTCTCCCAGGGAAGAGTTGCAAACGACTGGCTGCCGCCTCCTGCGCCCGCCTCGGCTTTATTGAGAGAGGGGAGGAAGGGGGGTGCTCGCTACGCTGCGCCAAAAGGCGCCTCTAGGTGGCAGCTTGGCAAAACTGAAGATATACACACACAGAGAGAGGGAGAGAGGGAGAGGGAAAGCCGGGGGAGGGGGAGAGACGAAGACCCGTGCAGATTGTCCGGAGAGAAAGGAGGGTCACCTGCATCCGGGACAGAACTGAGAAAGCTGCGGCTGCAAACAACTCTAGGGACCATCATTCAACCCTCGCCTCCTAGTCTGGTCTCGGAGTCCCATTAAGACCCAGACTTCCATCTGCGCACACAAGGAAGGCTGGATCCAGGCATGCAGGACCGTAGCCAGAAAAAAATTTCGGGGAGGGTTGACAATTTGGGGGGGGGGGGGGTGGAAAATTTCGGGGGAGGGTTGAAATGTGGAGGGTTGAAAATTTCGGGGGGGGGGGTTGAAAATTTCGGGGGGGGGGTTGAAACCTGCCTCCTAGCTCACACTGAAGCAAAGAGCACAGCAGGGGGCAGAGCAGCCTTCAATAGCCTGCAGCTCCGCCCCTGTCAACCACCTCCACCAAGTCTGGCCTCCTTAATGAGAGCATTCAACACACACACCCAACTTGGTTGCTTCACTACATTGGCTATTGCTGCAAGTAATGACAGTGTGAATAAATTGTCAATATTTGCTTGAGATAGTGCTTGCAGTTCTGGAGGGACTCTTAATTTTTTGCATCTCATAGACTTAGCATGGGGATTTGGTTAACCAGTTAAAATTCATGAGTAAACCAGGCTTTTTAAAAAAATCTGAAACATTTCGGGGGGGGGGGTTGAACCCCTAAAACCACCCCCTCGCTACAGGCCTGGCTGCCAGGCTTCAGCCCCCCCCCCCAAATTCTCATGGTGGTTCGCAAAAAGGCCTTACTGGTGCATTATTTAAACTGTTATGTTTATTCATATCATGATCTGATCACCATACTCAATATATCCCATATGCATGGGGTATTGGGGTAATGATACAAAAGGTTTGCTAGGGTAGACCCTCTTTCACTCAGACTCAGCCCCCCCCCCAAACGAAATCCTGGCTACGGGCCTGATGGCAAGCATCCTCAGAGGTCGTCTCTGCCAGAAGGGACAGAGAGTTTCATCTATGCTGATGATCGTGCCATTACCGCTCAAGCAGGGAGCTTTGAGATGGCAGAACAGAAGCTCTCCGAAGCTCTAGGTCAGGGGTCCGCAAACTTTTTTAACAGAGGGCCAGGTCACAGTCCCTCAAACTGTTGGAGGGCCGGATTATAATTTGAAAAAAAAAACATGAATGAATTCCTATGCACATTGCACATATCTTATTTGTAGTGCCAAAAACACTTAAAAATAATACAATAAGTAAAATGAAGAACAATTTTAACAAATATAAACTTATTAGTATTTCAATGGGAAGTGTGGGCCTGCTTTTGGCGGATGAGATAGGATTGTTGTAGGTTTTTTCGGGCTATAGGCCATGTTCTAGAGGCATTCTCTCCTGACGTTTCGCCTGCATCTATGGCAAAGCATCCTCAGAGGTAGTGAGGTACTCACCTCTGAGGATGCTTGCCATAGATGCAGGCGAAACGTCAGGAGAAATGCCTCTATAGCCCGAAAAAACCCACAAGAACCTAGTGATTCCAGCCATGAAAGCCTTCGACAATACATTATTGTTGTTGTTGTTGTGTGCATTCTGGCACCACGAGATGCAGAGCCAATCTTAAGAAATGGGGCTACAAAGTGGAATCCACAACATACGAGTGCGGAGAAGAGCAAACCACTGACCACCTGTTGCAATGCAACCTGAGCCCTGCTACATGCACAATGGAGGACCTTCTTGCGGCAACACCAGAGGCACTCCAAGTGGCCAGATACTGGTCAAAGGACATTTAATCAACTACCAAGCTTGCAAAATTTGTGGGGTTTTTTAAATCTGTTTGTTTGTTTTGTTCTGTTAGAAATGTAATACAATGTTCTGGTTGCAGATGACAAGATCAATAAATAAATCCTCAAAGGTAGTGAGGTCTGTTGGAAGTAGGAAAATGGGTTTATATATCTGTGGAATGACCAGGGTGGGACAAAGGACTTTTGTCTGCTGGGGCTAGGTGTGAATGTTTCAGCTGATCACCTTGATTATCATTCAATGGCTTGGACGTGCCTGGGAGGAATCTTTTGTTAAGAGTGTATTTGAGAACACAGAAGTGCTGGACCACTCTCACAACCACCATGTCAGACTACACAGAGAAGCCATTGAAATCCACAAGCATGTGGACAATTTCAACAGAAAGGAAGAAACCATGGAAATGAACAAAATCTGGCTACCAGTATTAAAAAACTCAAAAATTACACCAGCAAAACAACAGAGGGGAAACAAACAGGCACATAAAATCACTCTCAACAAAAGATTCCCCCCAGGCACTTCCAAGCCATTGAATGCTAAAACACTACGCAAAGTAAGCATTTGCGGCAGGCCCGTAGCCAGGATTTCGTTGGGGGGGGCTAAAAAATTTTCAGGGGCTGAGTTTCGGGGGGGGGGGGCTGAGTCTGAGGGAAAGAGGGTCTAGCCTAGCAAACCTTTTGTATCATTACCCCAATACCCCCATGCATATGGGATATATTGAGTATGGTGATCAGATCATGATATGAATAAACATAACAGTTTAAATAATGCACCAGTAAGGCCTTTTCGCGAACCACCATGAGAATTTCGGGGGGGGGGGGCTGAGGCCCCTCAAGCCCCCCCCCCTCCGGCTACATGCCTGATTTGCGGTATAGTGCATTTTGCCCAGGGACGCTCTTGAGGCCTGCTCACACAGTGGTGGTTAGCAGAACTTCTCACCGTGGCCTTGCTCCCAACTGAAAAGAAGAAGCAGCAGCGCAAAGAGGGGAGCCGCCATGTTGCCGGCGCCGCCTCATCCGTGGGCCTAACCGGCCCCCTCGTTCCCTACTGCCTCCTTCATCTCGCCTTAGCCTCAGGAGGAGGAAGCGCCACTGCCGGGAGACATGGTCCGTAAGAGGAGGAGGAGGAGGGCAGGAGGAGGACCATATGGCATGGGCCAACTTCCGCCCTACATGTGTTTTGGACTTCAACTCCCACAATTCCAAACAGCCAGTAGGAAGTCCAAAATACCTGGAGGGCCAAAATTTGTCCATGTCCCATATATATAATTTTTCATTGATTGGTTTAGGGGAGAGGCGCCAAAATACCGTTCGCTTACACTTGAAAATTACCTAGGGCCGGCCCTGGCCCTTGTAACTGTGGACAAGTCTACATAGGGACCACCAAACGCAGCATTGCCCAAACATGAATCAAGGAACATGAAAGGCACTGTAGATAGAATCATAGAATCAAAGAGTTGGAAGAGACCTCATGGGCCATCCAGTCCAACTCCCTGCCAAGAAGCAGGAATATTGCATTCAAATCACCCCTGACAAATGGCCATCCAGCCTCTGCTTAAAAGCTTCCAAAGAAGGAGCCTCCACCACACTCCGGGGCAGAGAGTTCCACTGCTGAACGGCTCTCACAGTCAGGAAGTTCTTCCTAATGTTCAGATGGAATCTCCTCTCTTGTAGTTTGAAGCCATTGTTCCGCGTCCTAGTCTCCAAGGAAGCAGAAAACAAGCTTGCTCCCTCCTCCCTGTGGCTTCCTCTCACATATTTATATATGGCTATCATATCTCCTCTCAGCCTTCTCTTCTTCAGGCTAAACATGCCCAGCTCCTTAAGCCGCTCCTCATAGGGCTTGTTCTCCAGACCCTTGATCATTTTAGTCGCCCTCCTCTGGACACATTCCAGCTTGTCAATATCTCTCTTGAATTGTGGTGCCCAGAATTGGACACAATATTCCAGGTGTGGTCTAACCAAAGCAGAATAGAGGGGTAGCATTACTTCCCTAGATCTAGACACTATGCTCCTATTGATGCAGGCCAAAATCCCATTGGCTTTTTTTGCCGCCACATCACATTGTTGGCTCATGTTTAACTTGTTGTCCACGAGACTCCAAGATCTTTTTCACACGTACTGACAGGGCCTTTTCTGTGGTAGCCCCTCGGCTTTGGAACGCCCTCCCCATAGAGGTAAGATCAGCCCCCTCGCTGGTGGCGTTTCGAAAAAGACTGAAGACATGGATGTTCGAACAAGCATTCGGTTAACACGGTGCAACGAATCTGACGATCAAGGACTGGTAATCACAGACGATGAAATTGGACTGCGTTTTTAACTAAGAGATGCATTGGTTCGATATTGGTGGCCCAATATTGTATATTATGTATGTGTTTTTATGCTTTTTTAATGCTTTTTATCTTGAATATTGTTGATTATTGTAATGTTGTAAACCGCGTTGAGTCGCCAATGTAGGCTGAGAAACGGCGGTATACAAGCGCAGTAATAAATAAATAAAATACTGCTCTCGAGCCAGGCGTCACCCATTCTGTATCTTTGCATTTCATTTTTTCTGCCAAAGTGGAGTATCTTGCATTTGTCACTGTTGAACTTCATTTTGTTAGTTTTGGCCCATCTCTCTAATCTGTCAAGATCGTTTTGAATTCTGCTCCTGTCCTCTGGAGTATTGGCTATCCCTCCCAATTTGGTGTCGTCTGCAAACTTGATGATCATGCCTTCTAGCCCTTCATCTAAGTCATTAATAAAGATGTTGAACAGGACCAGGCCCAGGACGGAACCCTGTGGCACTCCGCTCGTCACTTCTTTCCAAGATGAAGAGGAAGTATTGGTGAGCACCCTCTTATCCAGAGGGCATTGAACCAAGCCAATGCTGGATGTGGACTACACTTGGCACATAGAGCCAATGTGCCCAACTGTGTATAGAGGCAGGGATTGAGGAATGATTGCCTTTTTTCAAATGAGAATTCTTGTTTACCTGGATCCAGAGAGTCCCAGAAGGCAGCTGACAGGCTCGACACACTCCACTCCCAGCCACAAGTGTGGCGAGACTTCAATGCACAAGCGCGAAGGCCTGCCGAGTGCACAGGCATGAAGGCCTATTGCGGCTTCCGAA